TTTCTTACTTTTGCTCTTCCAGTTCTCTCTGCTGTCCTACCAGGGGCGGGAGCATGGGGAGAGGGTGAGCGAGCGGCTGTGTGGTGCTCAGTTGCTGACTGGGGTTAAAGCACGACACACAGATATTTTCAGATTCTTCCAACTCCTTGGTTCCAAAGGACTGGACTATGATTACATTACACAACCAGAATACTCTATCAAATGCCCAGTATTTATCTAGTTCCTAGAAAGAAAATATTTTCTTGCAGTTGTTTCACTAGAAATATCTAAAACAGGCACTAATTTTAGAATAACACATAGCAGATACAAAAAAAACCTTAAGAGTTCAACACTTTATTTTTCTTGAATAATAGATTATTTCCTAGAAAGGTTCAAGAGACATACTTAGCAAAATCATCTTATCTGTTGAAGATACTAGTTATCTTTTACACAGGAATTTTATAAGATCTTCCAGTTCACAAGTTTTTTCTTTCAATTTTAGGCAGGTCAGTTTTAGACCAGAATCAAAAAACATTTAGCAAGACTTAAGTTTTTTTAATGACCATGGAAAATTTAAGTGCACTACTATTTTGAATATAGATTTGCTAGGATTTCTGTGTACACTACCAGAATCAAGTATACTACACTATAGAAATTCTAGTCTTTTGCCCTGTCACCAATACTGGTTGCACACAGTTCTTGTCACAGTTTGCTCCATATATTCCTCCTATTGTGGACACACATATATTGTGGACAAACTCATGATTAGACTAGTTACCTCCTGTCAGTAACAGTGGTAGCTACCAGTGGTTTTTTTGTGCTAGAGGACTAGGCTGGGAAGCTGATGTCTTCTTGCAAACTGTTTAGTGTGCTATTTCCCTGAAGTACAGACATTGCCTCCTAGCTGTAACTCTGCATTTAAGTATGCTGGGCATTCCTCCCTCCTAGTTTCAAGGGGTTGAATATGCCGGAGCAGAAGTCTCACATGCTTCTCTATGCATTATTGTTCAGGAACAGGTTTTCGAGATGTCCACAGACAGGTTAGCTACTCAACTCCCAAATAACACCAACTTTCAGCAAAAAATCAGGAGTGTAAAGCTCATCTGTTCTTCTCAAAAATATTTCTCATTTGCTGAGGCTTTATGGGCTAGATGCTCTTTTTCTTCAACTGCATAATGTTTATAAGATTAAGATGCCTGCAACGTAACTGTTTTCTTACTCACATAGCAGAAGTCTTTGTGGCAACACTAAGCAATTATAAACAACATGACTCAGTTTGATGCCCTTTTTCCTTATTAAATTAAAAAATATTACTTGCTGAGGCAGTATAAGGCAGGCCAAATGAATTTAACTACTTGAAGCAAGTTGATAAAACCAAGTAATATTCCACTATCTGCTATAGCCTGCAGCATTTTAATGGGTATCAAAAAAACCCAAACAAACCCACCACCAAAAAACAACAACAAACCCAAAAACAAACAAAAAAGCCCCCACCCCCCCCAGTAGATTCTCAACTAAGTAATGAGAAAATAAAGAAAAAACTTTGTTATCCAGTTATAGGAATTGGAAAAAAAGGATCTAGCATCTTTCCTTAACATTGCCACAGATTTCCATCATCAGGCTCGTACAATCTAGTAACCTCTGGACAAATCATGGTCAGCTTTTTGTTTGTTTTTTTTTATTTCAAGTTTTTTAGGATTTCTGTTCATCATGAGCAGTCAGCTTAGTGAGACCACATGCACTCAGATCTTAAGTCATTATAGCATTGAAATATTTAGCTTCATAACTGTTTGCATGGACAAGCAAAAGCCTCAGCTTCATTTTTATCAATTTTTGAAGACTTTTAATGGAAGATGAGTCTGACGGAATAAAGCAATACATTAATTTTTACATTAAAATGCTGGGTATCAAACTTTACAATATATAAATACCGTCTTTCTCTGAACTCAGAAGCTGTAACAAGTACTGAAAAGAACCTCAGTGGTGATGTAGGACACACAATAATTTTCCCAGTGTTTCACAGCTTAATGGTTTTCACTCCAGAGAAAAGGAGTTGTTCCTACTTCTGCAGATCTACAACAATTCTATGGTAGTGTAACAGGACAGAATCATGACCAGAAAGCTAAATTATTAGAAACATTCTCTATTTATGTTTAAGAGAAAACCATGAAAAATTATATACAAATATTCCAATTAGTAGAAAGTCATTAAAAAGTCTAATTCCCTAGTGTTACTGACAAGCACGTGTGTGCATATCTGCCTTAACTATAGTCTCTAAGTAAATGGAAAGAGCTATCTTCCTAACCTTACCAAGCGTTTGCTGTACAGTAGTGCTGTGCTGCTTCCACTGGAAACTGCCCATTTGGAAAAATTCATGACGTGTTCCAGCTGTTTAGAGAGACCTGCCACTTCCTGTTGCTGCTGCAGAAGTTTCATCCGATGCTCTTTTGCCAGAGTCTGCAAGTAGAAAAGCAGTTCCAGTCAAAGGGTTCAATTTACAGTTAACAGGCATTAGCTTTCATATCTGTAATTCACAATGATCAAGTGGTTTCACTTAGCTCTTCTAAAAAGCACCCTTGCCCCCTGACTGCATCTATCAAACAGAAAAGTCAGTATACATTTATTCAGGATAGCAGGGCTTTCTCTGCAGATTCCCATTTTTCTCTTATGACACAGTTTCATATATATATGTGCCTCTCAATAAACACACGCACTTTTTAAAACACAATTTGAAGTAATATTTTTCCAGGTATCCATTCTAGACAATTCTCTCCTTTAATTTGCTAGTGGATTCCTGAATTTATGAAAAATTCTGATGGAAAGACTTTTCATGCATGACGCATAGAATTATGACTTGCAAAAGCATGGAGAAAGAAACTGGGCTCAGAGACAGCCCTAATTCACAAAGCAAGGAACACAGATAATAATTACAAACAAAACAACAACAACCCCCCCAAAACCAAACCCTCCTCCCCTCCCCCCTCAAAAACCCACTTGCTCAAATACCTTGTGTGGGACATCTCTCCACTTTGGAATTGCGATAGGACATGCACAGGTGGCTAACACTAGAAATTTTATTTTATTTTAATGTGAATACGCACAAAAAATATTAAGACTGACATTTTTGTTTCTTATGATAAAATGAAATTACCTCCAACTGATGCAGCAGAGCTTTTCCCTTTTTGTTTATTTCTACCATCAGTGTAAATATGGCAACTTTAATATCCTGTTCCACTTGCTTTTGATTCTGATTCACTTCAAGAATTCTGTAAGTAGACAGTATAGAAAATCATGTTCTTTAGCTCACAAACACCCCCCCTAACTCCGTTGCTGAGACTACAATATTTCTTGATCATATGCACCAATTAATACATATGCCATCAGATACTGATAGTCAGGAAAATTACTGGGAGAAATAGAAAGAGCAAGTACCAGTAACCTATGATAAAATTAATTAACTGGTGGCAAATTCTAATGCCATAAGTCTGTAAAATTACTGACATCTGCCACTGATAAAAATTAAATGCTCATTGTAATTGAAATTCTTGATTTTTAATTGTCCAGCACATTTCTGGAATGGTCCATGGCAATCAAAACTGTTTAAGTCTAATTTCCATCTAAGGTAGAATGGCATTCCAGAAACAAAAACAATAAATAGATTTTCTAATTTAGCTATTTCAAAAATAGTGCTCAAACTCGTAACAGCAAAGCATAATCTTATATTGTGAAAACCACTACTGCTAAGATGCAAGGGAGAATAACCACTTAGATGCAGCAAAAGAAGAGTGTCTGCTGTTTTTTTCCATCTCCACCACCCTGAAAGACAGGCACAGAGAGAGGAAGAGTTCAAGTTGCACTCAGCATCCCATACTGTGTTGCATCTTCCTGGGTACTGCCTTTGAACTCTGCTGAAGTGCAGCATACATTTTACAGATTTATTTTTCTCCTAGGTTTGTAGTACTGAGTGAATAAAGCCCCAAGCATAAAAGTATTACATAAATCTTCAAATATGTGTCACAAGCATTATGAAAACATGAGTCATAACCTTTCACTATCTACGAGGGATCTACACTAAGAAAATAAGTGTGCTGGTGGTGGGGAAGACTATAAGACTGCCTTCTACAGCCTTTATTGCATAAGTTGTTTTGTTGCACCCAAGCTATTGCTGCCCATTAAGTTGACAGGCTGAGCAGAAGAGTTACCTAACACAACCAAGCACATTAAACAGGCAAAAGTCACTACGGCAAACTGATGATTTTAGAATTTCTCTTTCTGGAAGGATAAAAGGAGAGAGGTACAAAATGCACTAATCTAAAAACTTCAAGAAATTACAATGTATATGAAGTTGCCCTCTGTGTCAGTTTTAACCTCAAAATCTGATACATACCTGTTTTGGATCTGCTTCCCTGTATATTTTATGTACTTAGTCTTCTCCATCAGTTTGGTGATTAGCATCTCAATGATCACTTTCTGGTTTTGAAAAGCTTCTTCTATAAACTGGTACCTGTAGTACATAACAGTGAGTATTTACACATGCAAAAGGTGTGATATACTTGCTACAAAGCAGAGTGCCTTACGAAAGATTTCTTTAATTGAAGAAAGATGCTGCTCAAGTTCAGAATTTAACTGTCCTCATGGAAGTATATGTCAGCAAATGCTGATATATTTTATTTCTAGTATATTTGAATTTATAATGTATTTCCTGCAATTTTTATTTTATGTTTTGAGAATTATGATTTTCATAAATATGAAGGGATACTGCATGACCATAGCCCAATTTTAGCAAAAAACAAGTTAATGTTGTGCTGTAGCCATCACTTTGTAAGTGAAAGTGCATGTAAGCTATTACTTCATGCAAGATAAGGATGTAGAAACAGAAGAAAGAGGAGAGATCACTGAGTCAGTAGAAGTCAGCAACATTTTAAATCAAGGAACTGAAATCATCAACAATTTGAGGAAAAAAAGAGGTGACACATTCTCAAAGGGATATAAATCCTAAGAAAAGGAGAATTAAAGAGGAAGACTGCAACTCTGCAAGAGCAAGGTTTAGCCTGTTCCAAGGAGCAACAGTGGCCAACACTTCTCCACCTATTGATGTTCACCTGGTCAGGCAACCCTAGTTCTCTGGATGGTTGCATCAGGTACAGCAAGCATATTAATATTTAACCTAAGAGTACATCTGTCCCAGACCATTACTGTATGCGTTAGCCAGCAAGATTATTGTCTTGTACTCAGAAGTTGTATATAATCCTGTTTTTCAGCTTCTGTGGCCAGTAAGAGATGACCAAAGAACAGCAACCCAAAGATTTGAGTGTAATACACAGTCTTCTCAAAGTACAGTATAGCCAAACTTTAGGTTTACTCTTCCTTTTAAAGGGCTCTTCACAGAAAAAATGCACATTTGCTCCGTTCTGAAATTGTTTGGTAATGTTCTGTTATATAATCATCTTGTTGAAGGACAAATGGAGAAATTACACATAAGTGTACAGTTGCATAACACGGCCCCTGTGCTTTCTAAGGACTCTCTGAAGAGCTGCATAGCAACAAATTCTATCCAAGTAACTTGACAGTAAAGAAAGGCCTTGTGCTTAAGTCACCAGGTTAAAAACTGGAAGAATCAGGTTTTATTCTAAACTATCACACACTCATCAGCCACACTCTTTTGGATACCATCTCAGCTTATTTGTGGGCTTCATTTCTGAGCAGAAAACTTTATTTTGCACTTTTTTCACCTGACTGTATTCCATACAGCTAGAGCTACAATCAACTTCAAGCTGTCTTCCTGTAAGTGAGTAGCATAAAACATATACTTTGTTTCAATACCTGTGCTCTTTGTGTTCTAGTAACTGACAGTCTCGGCAGGTCAGCTTGTCACAGGTTTCACAATACAACTTCAGCTGCTCCTTTTTGTGGTAAGGGCAAAACACAGGTCGCTGACTGGTCACACCAACCGCCTCTGTTGAATAAAGGAAGATGTCAGTCCAGTCTCTTGAAATTATTAAAGATTTGCATTCTCCTGTTTTTCCTTACCATATTCCTCACCTAGATGCTAGAAGTGTGTATCGGGCCACCTAATCAAGAATATAACAGCTGTAAGCTCAAACTGCAATGTCTCACTCTTGATCAAGCATGGAGCTAACACCCTCATGGAAAATGTCTACGTCCTGGTTTCGGCTGGGATAGAGTTA